TGTCAGAGTAGCTTTAGTTTTCACAGGCAGCGCGCGTATTTCCCTGCGAAGGAGAGCACTTTCCAACGGTGATTCGCGACGCTTTTTATCTTTCTGCCCTTTTATCCTGTCGCTCTTAGTCCGGAATGACATTGACGATGCATTAAAATTCATCTTCGCCGTTATTACCGGTCGTTTCGCCCAAATTTACCGAACGTTATCTCCACCTAGATACAGATACAGTTCGGAGAAAAACGATTCTTTCGTTAGATACAACGGAGATATAGAATTAGGTCTAGATAATCTTTGAATTCGCAAGATCCGATTCCAGGAAATTTCAAGTAATAATCGTTCATAGAAATCGGAAGAACGTTCTTTATAAATAAACGTTTTGTATTAGCCTTAACTAACTCGCAAATTTTCCCCGATGAAAGCAAAATGTTGCCTTCCGTTTCAGTAATGCGTCATAATTAAATTTATGAAAGTTGACTGTTTGGAACAGTGTGCCATCCCGACGACGCGAAAATGCACTTGCACCTTTAAGTGCCTAAAGGGTCCTCGTATACGGAAATTCATATTTTTCGTTCATCCGTTGTATGCTGAATGTTCCACCGTTGCGAAGGAAATTTAGCGCTTATCTCAAAGCTGCCATTGTTCTACGGCTGAAATTGTTTGCAATTTTCGATTCGATTATCAAAGTTGAATTACGAAACTTACGGAACATTGTTCCATTTGCGAATCGATACAGAAAACATATGGAAATTTATGCAAGTTTCGAACTTTTGAAATTTTATTAACGTGAAATAATGTGTGAAAAATTATATCGTTTATTTTTATATATTTTGCCTTGTATATAATATTGTTGCATGTGAAGCCTGTATTTTAAAGAATAAAGATAATTTATGAACATTTACTGTTTAAAATTTAACCTTGTTAACGTTTATTATCCCAGAACAAAGGAAGTATAGAACCAATATAAGAAGTACATGGTTTCGAATTTGAATTACGCGCGGCGCATGCGCAGTGTATTTTATACAAAAATTGAAAAAACCGCTTCCTCGGATTCGCGTCCTTGTCGAAATTAATTGCGGTCAAATTTTTACCAAATTAGTGTAAAATTTATGGTAAATAATTGCTCGAGTAGTTTATGTGATTGAATAATCGTGTAATTAAAGTAGTGTGTAAGTGTAATATATTCCAAGTATAAAATGAAATAAGTGCAGAAAAGTAAATCGAACTGTGGAAGCTTCTTTTTTTTTACCCGGGATTGGAGTAAACGCATAGGTATGGAGAAATTTACTTATAACTTTACTAATTTTAATATATAACAAATCACGTTTTTCAATAAGTCAATGTCAAATGTTTAAAAATTAATTTGAAAAGGAGATATATTATATGAATGTAGTCAAGTAAAATAGGGTAATTTGAAATAAGTTCAGAATCATTTAAGTGAATACAGTATAACGTTTATTCAATTCGTTAATTACACTGATTACACCAGAATCAAGACATTATATTATAAACATAAGATAAAATATACATCTTTTTTTTCATTTATTGTTAAAGATAAAGCAATGTATCTTTTAATTTTTTATTTTGTTGCTCTTTTATGTGGATCAACCACTTAACGGGAATTCACGGAAGAGAAATATGATAAAAGTAAAATCACTTAATGAAATACATATACTTGTAGTAATGTTTTCTACTTCATTTTCTTTGCTGTTTTTATCATGCATACAGAATAATGTATACATTCTGAGAAATCATACAGACTTGATCTCTACTTTGGATGTTGCATAATGTTTAAATTAAATTACTTATATTATATTCAACACTCTACAGTTGGAAATATTATCTGTTAAAAGCAATGTAAAAGCAATTGTATTTTGGTGATCAATTATTATACTAATATATGAATATACAATTAATCTGAACTGCAACATTCCTACTTAAACATAAAGTAATCAGTTTCTACAAACCTATCTGATCACCTATTATACAGAATTATTAACCGATATGTCTAATGAATTCATGGAATATCTTCTTTCTTGTTGTGTTGTTTTCAACCATTGCTTGTGTTCACATAAGTAAGGGTATAATGGTACCACTAAAACACTGATATCATCAACCGATGCCATGGGTGAAAATTGTTCGTCTCCTTCTTCAATATTTTCCGATTTACCAACCCAAGCTCGTCCAACCAATCTACCTCTTGCTGCTTGTACCAATTCTTGAGCACCCATTGTGAGCCTGTGATATACATATTTATACATCTACTTCTCAAGTATATGCTGTAATTCTTAAACAGAAACAAAATACCTGTATTCTAATGATGGAGCATCTGGAGCCAGTGTTTTCCTAAGTATATTCGCTGCTGCTTTATCTGACACAACATCCCAAAGCCCATCTGTAGCTGCAATAATGCAATCACGTTCTGTAGGGTTACAACTGTCTAAATTTATGGATTGAACTTCTGGTTGTGATGAGAGGAATGGTTTTATGTGAACTCCTGTATTGGCTGCTTTTAAACCATGGTCTCCAAAACCTCGTGTTACTCCTATAGTGCCCATAACTCGACTCTGTAAAACAAATATATTTAATATAAAAAACTAATGGATATATGGCTGAATTCCCTCAAATACTAACGATAGTTACTCTTTTTCCATGTCCAGATATGAGAGGTAGCTTTAAATCGGTATGAGTTAATACTTTATATGCCCAACCTGTCATGTAAGGTTCTCTATACAAAACCATAGATCCTAATTCTTCTTGCAAAGGTCGTTTTCTGAATTCCAGTGGCGTGAAATGACCTTTTAGTAATTCATTGCTCTTTAGGAAACCTAATGCTCTAATACGGTTTGATTCTGAATCAGGGGTATGATCTCTTGTCAGTGCACGTTGACTATCTCCCAAAACTAGTATCGTTCTGTCAATAAAATATTTAATACAAGTTATTTTGATTTTGGATGACCTGCAGTAGAAATCTAATAATTAAAGTCTTCACCTTGAATCACCAGCACCAGCTGCATATAATCTACCATTGAGAAACAAAATAGTAATTGCTGTGCAACCACCACCTCCTCCTTGAGCTTGAGTTTCCACCATTTGATCCATTTGTCTATATGCTAATTCAATAGCACCAGTAACTAAATCTCTCCCTTTTATGCGCTCATCTTCATCTTCATTCAACAACATATTGCCAGGTATTGCCATTAACCTTCCCTAAAAGAATAATATATATTTAAAAATGCAATGCTCGTAAATTCTATATAGAATTTCTTACAAGGATTATCCTATGCAAGTGTAATCTTGCTGTTAAAGCCACTTGATATCCAGCATGTCCATCAAACATAGAAAACATAACATAAGGCAATGTAACATTAACATCTGCTAACTTGAGGTCTCCTCTAGTTGCAGAAGTTTGATCTTCGTTCCATGTACTTTTCCCAGCATTTATACATTCTGCATAGCCAGCACACCATGGTAATCGGCTTAAATCTCTTGGAACTATGATTGGTCTTACTCTGTGATCAGCACTTACCTATTTGTTTAATTACACGAATGTTAAATAAATTTTCACAAGCTATCATTAAACATTATAACAATGAAGACACTTTGAAACACATACTTCAGTTTCTTCTGTTGTTAATCCTAGGAAACTAGGTCTACTATATGGTTTATTTTCTACTTCTGTAGTAATATTTGCATTAATGGAATCTGTTACTGTTTCATTATCTGAATCAGTAGGATATTGTAGGCCAAGTTCACTTCCACCCACAGCATTCATT